GGGGGTGGGCTACCCTTATCACTTAAGGGTATAAAAAATATATAACAACCTGTTTTCAGACCTACTCAATATACTTATAAAATTTCATCAAAATCGGCTAAGCCGTTTCGGAGATGGCAACAAAAAAAAATAAAAAACAACCCCTATTAAAAATAGGGGATGATAGCAGAACGGTGAAAATTTAGGGTTGTTTGTATTTCTTAATGCCAAATAAAAAAATAAAAAACATTTTTTTCTTTTCAAAAACTAAAAAAAAATGAGGGTGGGTTACCCTCTCGGCTACCCTTATCAGTTAAGGGTATAAAAATAGATAACAACTTATTCTTAGACGTACTGAATATACATATAAAATTTTATCAAAATCGGTTAAGCCGTTTCGGAGATGGTAACAAAAAATTAAAAAAACAACCCCTATTAAAAAATAGGGGATGAAAGTAGAACGGTGAAAATTTAGTGTTGTTTGTATTTTTTAATGCCAAATAAAAAAAAATTAAAATATTGTTTTTTCACAAAATAAAAAAATGGGGGTGGACTACCCTTATCATTTAAGGGTATAAAAAATATATAACTACCTATTCTCAGACCTACTGAATATACATATAAAATTTCATCAAAATCGGTTAAGCCGTTTCGGAGGAGTACGGTAACCAAAACTGTAACACGGGAATTATATAAGATAATATATGTAAACTGGCGGAGTGCGGAGAACGGAAAGACTGATTATTGCAATAGATAAAATTTAAAACTATAATTTAAAACTATTCAAGAAAGTACACACAAAACAAGGCAACGCCGCGCGTCTATTCGTTCGATTCCGAGCAAAATAGCGAGGCTCCACGAAGTTGGGGCCTCGCTCGCCAAAGCGAGGCCCCATCGACAGGTCAGATTTTGATGCCAGACGAGACTTCTAGGGTATTAAGATATTCTTTGGTTCGGTGCAATACCTTATGGAGTTATCATCTAGGTATATCTTCCCTCCATAGTTTTTTGATTCATCTCAATAACTTTTTTTGGGGATATTCGCTTTTGAAGAAAACACTAACATTTTTTCGTATTTTTTACAATTAAAACCATGCCCTTGCTTTTAATCCTAGTCAACAGACCTATAAAATAGTGTTTATGATTTATGTAATGACACTGTCTTTGAAAAATAATATTATTATTCTCCGTTGGGTAGTTACTATAGCAGATATGGTTTTAAGTCCAAAAGTTGATCTCTGCCATAATCAATTAAAGCAGCAATAGCCGATACTTCAGAATTTAAAACCATCTCTACTAAAGTAACCGCCAATAAACAATAATATGACTTTTCAGTAACAGTGACATTACAAAAACAATAAACACTATTTTATAGGTATCTTGATGAAGACTCAAAATCAATGCTAAAATTGCTGTAAATCGTTACTGTCTTATTCAGAAGCGAATATCTCCAATAAAAATAAAGCTTTTCCGGTGAATCAAAAAACAAACTATTGAGAAAAGACGTACCTAGATGATAAAATGATTTTTGAAATGCCTGCTTTATTAACATATTCCAGAGGGTGTTTCAAACTATCACCAAAATATCAACATTTTGTGTTCCCTGGTATAATTGAGAGACGGAATCTTTCATTTTTAATTTAGAAAGAGATACTAGAAAGTCAAATAATTTAGCTACAAATTGCTGAAAAAATCATCAAAATCGGTCAACTAGAACACAATATATAAAACTTTAAAATATGTCAAAATTTTAAGGTTTGTTTTTCGTTCCAGTGAGTGTACATTGTTACACAATTAAATAATTATTTCAAAAATATAAGTATAGATATGACTTAATAATATCAATATAAATTTTAGTCTTTGTCTTATTATATTTTTAATAATAAATGCAGCTACAGTTCGTCTGCTGGATCTGTGTCTATGAAAGGAATGCGGACAAAAAACATTTAAATAAACAGCAATATATTTTATACGTCGACTTGACGAGTACGTCACCGCAAATCGCTCCGCCCACTCATTTTATTGGCTACTTGCAAATTTGTCGAATTTTTATTGATGGGACGCGTCGTCTAATTTTTTACGAAAAACATCGAGAGAATATCGTTTCCCCTCTCACGGATACCCCGTAGCCACAGAACGGACAGACGTACTGTACCTACCTTTAGACGATAAAGACCATATTCATAATTTTGTCGTATATGAGACACATTTTCTAATTACGGATTTTGTTAATTTGAATGAATATATAAAGGTTAAATTTGTTTATCAAAAATAATATTAATATTTTACATTTTTACCTGATTAACTTTTTGTTTTTATACGTCTAGAGGAATAGACAAATACACATTTATTTGCATAGCTAATATAGTCTAGACACAAATTACTTCAGTCATTAACGTAAGTTAATCCCAAGAATAATAATAACCCCTCCAAACTACCTTCTCCTTTGTGAATGCAAGAAGAAAGCAAAAATAAACAGTAATCACGTAAATATAAAGTTATTTAGCCCAAAAGGAATAAAAAGACGTAGAAGGGCGAACAATATACATTTGCTGTCCGGTTGATTGACTTATTTATGTCGGATTTTTCACGAAAACTGCCATTTAGAAAATTAGGCCAGACGTGAAACTCACCTATGTTTGCCGAACTTTTATTTGGAAACTTCTCTGACTAATGTTTTCTTTAGAGTTTTGACGTAATACCGTTTCCAACATCACATTGTGCGATAGTTTGAATTCATATCTCGGCTAATTTTAGAAAATTGTCTTGAAGTTTGCGTCTGACAGCAAATAGGAGAAATAATTTGATTACCTATATACACACGGAGTTAGGAGAAAATGCATAGACATATAACGTTAGACTAACTTAAACTCAAACTAAAAATAAATTAGACTAACTATACACTATTCCGTGGACATAGAACGCATTTTTGGATGCAACTGGACACAATTTACCTCTATACAAAAGTGCTTCGCTTGTCCGTCAGAGAAACAAAACACATTTTTTTCAGATATTTTAGTAACCGTTATTCCGATTTGAATGACATTTTAGGTGTCTATGTTTTACGAAGATCTTTAACATTTGGCTTTTAAGTCGGTCAGTTTTTTTGGAAAACTACCCCCACCGCTACATATATTTTAGTATAAATATTTTCTAACTCAACCGACTACCGATTTTTCTTTTATAAAATTTCTCTTTTAGTATTTACTTATTATTTTTTTGTCAGTGAAACGTGATAACCTGCTAACTCCATTTTTTACATTAATAAGTTTTTATACCATTAGAAAGAGAAAAAAATACTCTATAAGTAGGGAAAGCAAACACATTTTTTCCCATTAATTTTTTTTTATTTTAACTCAATAATATCTGCTAACTCCTAGTGATCTGAAATAGCCACCGAAATACTGCTATCTCCGTAATTTCCGTTACGATCACGCTAAAGCAAACACACAGATTCTTAGTCGCATGTTTTTTTTAGTACAGTACGTCGATCCAAGGTCGCACTAGGCCAAAGGGGCCCGGGTGGCAATGTAAGGAGTATTTTGGCGTATTTTTTCGCCTTACGGTTTGGTCAATTTTTCCCTATTATATACAGGGTGAGTCTTAAATAAGTGCAAATATTTTTAGGGTAGTATATTTCGACCCAAGAAACACGATTACGAGGTTTTTTGCGCGAAATTTTTTTTTTGAAAATTTGGAATTTTTTAAAAAAAATTTGGATTTTTTTTAATTTTTAGTTTAAAGACATACTTTGTTTGTAATATGGGTACATAGGTAGTAGATTAAATTTACAAGAAAGAAAATTCAATGAAATTTTAAAAGGGAAATAACTCGGTTGTTTTGGATTTATTTGAAAAAACGGTAAAGAGAAAATATTATGTTTCTTTTATTGAGATTTACCAGCCCTGAACATATTTGCACTTATTTAAGACTCACCCTGTATAGAAATCAGGGAACTACCCTAATGCAAGGTAAACCAATGCAATACAAATTCCATAATGCAATGCAAACGCAAATATTATTAAGAATAAATAATGAATAAATATCTATATAATATGGCCAATCCGACCCTGCGTCGATCCGTTCAGTAAATACGGGGTATCCGTAAAGGGTAAGGGGAACAACGAAATTCTCTATATACGAGCAATTCATCGGCGTGCTATAAATAGTTTAAATAACCATTACTTACTTGTACAAGAATTTCCATAATACCTAATCAGTTTTTTTTTCAACGTTTTTTCACGTAAATGAGACATAATTTTTATAAAAATTAAAAAAATAAGGAGAAAAGTAATAAAAATTAAATAAAATCACGCACTGTCTTCCAAGCTCGGTCTACTACCTTTGTATAAAAATTAGGATTGGTGATAATTTTATTGACATTATACCACTTTTAAAGTTACTTTTTATTAAATTCTGTATTAAATTCTGTGATTATTAGTATATGTATTAGAGCACCCTCTTACTTGTTACCACTTATGGCGTTATAAGATGTACATCAATAAATAAAGAACCCATAATAACGCTTATAATAATCTTCATAATGGCTTTTGCCAATATGTAAAAAGTAAAATAAGCTATAAAACAAATAAATCAATTAATCACTAAAATATTAGTTATTAAATTAAATATAAAACTTAAAACTCTTTAAAAATGGTATAATAAATATGTTGTTTGTCAATTTTAAATTAAGATTCATCTCATAGATCCATCACAATCTGGCAGCGCTGTCGCCATCGCTTGTCACTAAAAGTTAATCACGTGCATCGGAAATTGTTTTGCTATTACCATATTATATGCATAATTTTATGCACAAATTTTATTATACACAATTTAAAAAAGCTTACAACTTTATCATTACATTTTTTTACTAACCAACGACGATATTGCAATTCTTAGCACTAATGGGCCACCCTGTATAATGTAGATTATACATACGGCACATATAGTTTAAGAATGTTTAAAAATCCCCAGTGTTTAAAAATATCTTTGTTCTAACTTAAAGTTTTCTTTTTTTGCAGGGCTGCAAAATTATGAAGCAGGGAGAAGTGAGACGAGCATTGATGGTCGCAACTGTAATTTGCCTGTTTCTCTTCATTTATTTGTACTGGCAACAATCTTCTAGGCCATTACAGGCCCTCGTACTCACATACAAACACGTCTACACATCTAATAAGTAAGTATTACTTTCTGTCCATAATTCTATTTCATTTTATTTTTATCATAATGCATAATTATTATGAATCAAAACCACATAATATTTAGTATTACCCCAGACTATCCAAAATTATTTGCATAAAAATCTGCGTACATATTTAGGTACTCACTTATCTAAAGTTATGCAAAAAATTCGGATTCTATACCTTAAAACTTTGTTTAAAAACCATCGAGACTGGTGCTCCTACTGCTAACAAGTGTACGAGAATAAGCGCAGCAGGTAATACTCGAAGCAAAGATGACCAGCTGATACTCAAAAGGCTGTGGCTTTACACTAGATTTTTTTAATAAAATTTATTTAATATTAACCAAAAACCATAATCAAAAGACAAATAATTATGATCATAGAAAATTGTTTAGCAAACTATGTAATAGGAAGCAGGATGGAGTTATAAATTATGACGGTATTTGTTGATTTTATGAATTATAGGAGACTAATATTTTCAAATTTAATGACATACCATAAAGAGAAATTATAAAAAAAACTTATCGCGGGCTAGATTTGATGTATTTTTAAGTTTGAAGATTAAACAAATTGGGACGTTTGTGGTTTAAAATAAATATTTATACAGGGTGAGTCTTAAATAAGTGCAAATATTTCCAGGGCTGGTAGATTTCGATAAAAGAAACATATTTTCCCTTTACCATTTTTCAGATAAATCCAAAATAACCGAGTTATTTAAGTTTGGTATTTAAAAAAAAATGATTTTTTTTTTAATTTTGGGAGCCACCGAATTTGTTCTGTATTTTCAACCCTTTTATTGCCGTAACCATAGAGTAAAGTCGTAACTATGGTAATATCAGAGATTAAGAAATTATACCGTGAGAAAATTTGCGGTGAACAGGCAGTTCTAAAAAGTTTTCGAAAAATATACAGAGAAATTTAAAAGAAAATGCACGATTCTCAACTTCTTTTTTAGCGAAAAAACCTCATAGACGTGTTTCTGGGGTCGAAATATACCCTGAAAATATTTGCACTTATTTAAAACTCACCCTGTACTTACATCATGAGCTTTTTATATTATACATAGGTATATCTATTTTACTTTCGTGTTTGATGTGTGGAACAAGATCAGTCCTATATAAAACAAGCTTAAACTAAGTCTGAGAGAACTCTTAAGCGCATTAACTCGTAACATTTGATAAAGATCAAAATAAGCTTTTAGAAATCAGCGTCGCTAAAAAAGGTATCCTTTGATGGAAATTCTCTTGTGAACTCATTGACCATATAAAAATGGTTATTTTGCAATCGAAACTAGTGTACCAAAAATATAATAAATATTACACAGAGCTTCATTCTTATCTTAATTACAATATATTAAATGAATTTATTGTACCTAATTCCTGGTAAACTTATATAAGCAAAAAAAAATATTTTTTTTATTATACAAGGTGAGTAAGAGATGCAAATATTTTTAGGGCTGATAGATCTCAGTAAAAGAAACATTTTATCTTTACCGTTTTTCAAATAAGTCCAAAATAACCGAGTTATTCAACTCTGAAAATTTAAAAAAAAAATTATTTAAAAAAAATGAGAGTCTGTATTGGTATCTGTTTTAATGTCGTAACCATGGTAACATCACAGATTAAGAAATTACACCGTAGGAAAATTTGTGGTAAATAAACAGTTCCAAAAAGTTGTGTTCCTGGCGTCAAAATATACCGCCCCTGAAAATACTTGCACTTATTTAAGACTCTCCCTGTATAGCGGAAAAGTCTTAATAAATTAAATTTAGACATACGTATTAATTTTATCATGAATTTAAAGAAATAGAAATAATAGATGTTTTGCGCCCCCCAGTATTTTAAACAAAATTAATAACACTTACTAAATACTATAATTAATTATTCTATTAAACATGTTTATTTTTGAAAATATAACAAAATAGGTCTCATATAACGACAAATTAGGATAAACTATTTCTCATGATAAACTTATTATTAGATATTGTTTAATTTATTTCTACAATGTCCAGATTTTACAAAGTCCAGCTCATCGCAGATATCCTTAGACTTCAAACAATCATCTCCATTTCTCAAAATATGCTGCAGAGATTGAATAATGAATAACTAACCAGCATCTCAACGCCAGATAACTAGATGAATTAATTTGTATTTATTAGACATGGCATCTGTATAAGATTTATATCAAGTCCGATTTGCACATTTAGCATTGCAAACAAACTAGACCGCGTTGGATACTTCCATATCAGTTATCTGTCTTTCATTAAATTAGTTAGCTGATATAAGACATTCAGTAAAAATTACATCCAGGAACCTGAATCTGCCTGATAATATTTAATAAGGGAAAATATGAAAAAAATGCTACATGAAAAGAGTTGAAATAAAACTCTACCGGATATTTTTCAAATTTGGCTCGCTCTATATTCTTCTTAATTTTCAGATAAAAAAAAGAGATATGATGTGTTAGTATACCGGGTGCGTCTCAAAAGCAACTCGCCCCTATAACCTTATAATTTTTTATATTTTTTTCAGATAAAACAACAAGATTTGGTATATTAGTATATGACATAAATTAGGATTGATTGACGTATTCAGTTGTTTTTAGTTACTTCCTGTTTCACCGGAAATGACTACAACTTTTTATTATTAAATAGCACCTTCGGTATATTTTTACTTTATTCGATAGAATATGACGCTCTGAATAGAATGACAAGTTTTGACATTTTTGCTTAAAAACAAATCGTATTTTAAATATCAAGCTTCAATCAATAATTCATGGTTATGTTTTTAGTCGTATCTCAATTTTTTCAAATGGAACAAGAGTGGCTCATTAGCATATTTGGAAAAAGCATTTTTTACGAATAATTTGGTACCACACACTTGGTATTTCGAGTCAAATTTTCGTTATGAACCTCATGTTACAATTTCAAATAAACCATATGAGAAAATGTCAAAAGTTGACATATGATATATCATTGCTTTCAGAGGGTCATTTTCTATGAAATAAAGTAAAAAAAAGCGAGGGTACCATTTAAAAATCAAAAGTTGTAGTAATTTCCGGTGAAACAGGAAGTGACCAAAAACAATTGAATATGTCAGTCAATCTTAATTTATGTCAAATACCAAACATACCAAATCTCGTTTTTTTATCTGAAAAAATAAAAACGTTATAGGTGTAAGCCACTTTTGAGACACACCCGGTATAACATAAATGGGAATTCATTGGCGTAGTCAATTAGTTTATTTCACTTCCTGTTTCGCTGGAATTGACTGAACGTTTAATTTTCAAATGTATTGTCGGTTTTTACTTTAACTGGATATCGGCATTCTGAATAGAATGACATAATATTATGATATATAAACTTTCGACATTTTCGCTTAAAAAAGCATTTTAAATGTCAATTTAAATGTCGTAAATGCAACAACAGTTTGATCCTAAATACAATACTTTTTTTAAATATACTAATGAGACATATGATTAAAATTACGATTTGGGTATCTTTTAACCGACCAGGAAAAGACGCTAAAAACTTTAGATCAAATATATTTTCCCAAAGTGTCTTAATTAAAAGTTAATGGTTTTAACACAGCCATGACGCTCTAGATTGAAATTTAAAGTGCTATTTTGTTAATTGAGAATGTGAATATGAAAAATTGACATATGATATGTTATTCTATTCAAAACGTCATTTTCTATCAAATAAATTAAAAAATGCCTTGGGTACAACTTAAAAATCAAAAGTTGTAGTTGCAGCCAATCATTGCGATTTATGTCATCTAGCATACCAAATTTCGTTTTTTTATTTTAAAAAAGTAAAAAAGTTACAGGGGTGAGCCACTTTTGAAAAATACCTGGTATAATGGTGTAAGTATTTTTTTTTTAATAAATAAATAATATTATTATTGAAAACATTAAAGAATCTACACATGATTATGCAAAAAATTGTAGCAAACCATAGGTCTTAATTTTAACAGCAAATTTTTAAAAAATGTAATATTCAAATTACAAATCCATTTTTCAGGTATGATGAATTACAAACATGGATCAGTTTTGTCAACAATGGACTTTGAAATTTAATTATCCTTATGATTTAATTAAAATCCAATTTTATTCCCCTCCGCTCGCGATTATTGAATTTTTATTTTGTTTTAATTTTAAGTCAATATTTTTTATTTAACATTATTTTTTTATTTTTGTGTCGACCCTTGGTTTTTCTTTCTTTTTTCTATGTATAAAACATTTTGCATATCTAGAAAATAAATATTTCTCTAAAGAAATACAATCTTTTAATAATAAAAAAGTGTAGGTCTATTTTTTGTATTTTATCAGTTTATTTCTTAAGATGATTTATAGATGATATAGGTTTTTAAGTTGTTTCTATCTAAAAGAATTTAGAGAAAAAAAGGACAGAAAAAGAAGATGTCCAAGTTAAAATATACTCAAATAAAATTTATGTGCCGTAACTTTTATGTAGAAAAAAAAACGTTGAAAAAAGCGGAAGATTGTGGAGTGTTAATGGATTGTAATAAAGTGAACTTTTATCTTTGAATGGCGTGTCTTTGCTAAAGAATTTTCTGGAGACAGAAGCCTCTTGAACAATTTTTAAAAAATCGGGATATAATATAGCTGGTTACAAAGTCGTTTGTTAGTTTTTACAAAAGAATTAATTTGCATTAGTTAGAAAACACATACAATAAAAACAATGAAGATGCCTTGGAGTTGAGAATATTATTCTGACATTTGTTTGAAAGTATAGAACACAAAAACGGTTCACTAATAAAATAATGATTTTAGACCTAATCACTGCCTATTCTCTAGACAGACAGCCGCCTTATTATGATTTACATGGAACTTTGCGTACCTACCTAGATAATTTGTTTATCTTATGTCATGTAACAAGTCAGATTCTGAGCATTGAAGTTCCGTTTTTAAAAACTATCGAGAGAGGTACTCCGTTTTTATTTATAAGTATAGTTCATACCAATTAAACTTACAGTTACGTGATTAAGTTGGTTAGGCAACTTTTACATATTTTCTTTTAATCAAAATATTTTAGGAAGCAAAAATAAATTAATTATAAATATATAAACAGTTTATTATTTACATCAACAAAACTCACCTCCTTAACAAAACGGGGTCCGAATTCTGTACCTTAGACGCTCAGCGTATATGACGATAATTTTCGCTGAGCGCGCACTTAACTACCGATTTGGATATTCTCATCTGACGCGCTTGGCATCTTTACCGATTGCGCTAAGCGCTTTCGGTTGCCTTAAAGGATCGTTTTGCTTGTCGAACTGTCGGTGAAAATCGAAAAAATTGTGATTTTGTGCGTTATCCTTCTCTTTAATGAAAATTACTACTTTTTCTAAAAATTCTTCAATAAGTAATTGATAATTTACGACTTGGCAGCTATAAATATTGTTCAAAACATCGAAAATGCTGAGAAGCGTTTTCAGCATTTCCCTTGTATAATAAGAATAATGACATATCCATAGAAAAATAGGTTGACATAACTCAACAATAGGTTATGAAATTCACGTAACATTGACATTTTTCATTGTTTTATTCACATTTGACTATTTGATACCTGCGAAATTGCGATGGTGTCAATATGTGCTCAACGCGTATCCAGAAAACGATTCGCACGGCAACGAGAATACCAAAATCGACTGCTTGGCGTTTCGCTAATCGCATACTTTCGGTCACCGCTTTGAAAGCGTAACGTTTTTATGTCAAAGTTACAGAATTCGGGCCCAGGGACATAAAAGGTCATTACTACCGCTTTTCCGTTTTTTAAATATTATAATTAGTGATGGAATCACTCGAGCGAAATTTCGCTCGAGTACTCGATTATTAAAATAACCGACATCGCTCGATTATGAACGAGCGATGCAACTGACAAAGTACCAAGCGACGAAAGCAAGCGATCCTAGAATGAAATAAATTGAAATCCGATTTTAATGTGACATACTCGATAAAAAGCCGAGCGAATTTTCTACATACATTGCAGGTAGCAAATTTATACGACGCTGTATATATATATTTATTCGTTGCGTATCTGAGAGACAAAATTTTACGACCTACATCGACAATGCTTTGAAATAAACTAAATCAAGCGATCAAGCGAATCGCTCGTCGTCTGCTACTTGCCATTCATCACCGAAAGAATCTGTACCCTGCGCAAGCCACTTACTGCTTGGCGCTTGGCGTTAACGAGTACTTACAACAAGCGGCTTACGAAAAACCGTATTTTTTAATACGAGCGATATTTCGCTCGAGCGATCGCTCGGTTATTGCAATCGCTTGATACTCGAGTACTCGATTATTGAAATTAAACGGTTTTTCCCATCACAAATTATAATAAGGTTGCGAAGAGTTCATTGCAACGGCTATTAAACTATCCTGTACACTTTGCACTAAAATAAGTTCTAGAAAGAACAATGTTCAACTGCAAGGTCTTCTAGTAAAAATTTTGAAGCTTAAAGTAGCACAACACAATTTACTTAAACCAAAATCTCGTAATACAAAACTATAGTATCAAAATGAATGTCAGGAAATAAATAAATGTGGCAACTTGACATTTTTTACAACAGAGCTACTACCTGAATTTCCAGAGGGAGATTTAAATTCCAATGATATAGGTAGTGTATAGGTGTATTTAGTGTTGCACAAGAGTCTTGAAAAAGTCTTGCAAGACCAAAACTCTTGCAAGAAATTCATACCAAGACTTTCAAAATTTCTTGTCTTGAAAGACAAGATTAAAGTCTTATTATATATATATATAATAGATTTATCTGAATATATAGATTAAATGCAATAAATTTCAAGAGTCTTGCAAGATTTCTGGAATTCAAGATTTCGTGAAAGTTAAAAATGATACATTTTTTAAGTGATAATTAGGTCGCCTAAACTTAGCCTTTAATTATGTTACCTAACTTCACTGATATAAAAATTATAATTATGACAATGTTCTATAAACGCACATTAAAATTGCGTTGTGATTATGACGATGATTAAGACTGTGATTATGATTACCACTTATACAAATGTTGTATAAACCCGGCATTAATATTGACCAGTGTTCATTTTTTTTCTATCACAGCCAGTGTTTTAGAGTTGAGAATGAAATGAAATAAAATCGAGGCAACAAACCGTATATTGGTAATTGGTATTATTTTAGTTAACGCAGAAGTTTAGATACGAAATAATAACCCATAAATCGAACTTAACCTTACTTATTCTTATTCAGCTTTTATTTGGTAATGGTTCCTGTTTTGTCAAACAGGCTAGTTGACGTAGTTCGTTTGCGGTCCGTTAAGATTTTTTTTTGCTAAAATTAGCATCGTTGTTGTTCATTTTTCCGTATTACATTTTCTATACGACGCTTTCTATGAAATAAAATATAGAAATATTATTACCTTTTTGTTAGAATGTAAAATTTTTCAAGACAAGAAATTTCAAGAGTCTTGCAAGACAAGACAAGACTTTGCAATTCAAGAAATCTGCAAGACAAGACTTTGAAAATTTCTTGTCTTGAATTTCAAAACAAGACAAGAAATTGATTTTCAAGACAAGAATTCTTGTCAAAATATACATATAAAGTTTGTGAATGCAAATAATAATACATCGCTATTAGTAGATATTGAATGTTTTTTTTTGTTAAATTAGATCGATTTTTAAACCCCAAAACTTAAAATATATTTTACATTTTACCCATTATCTTATGTACCTATTCATTATTTGTATATTGTAAAACATTTTCAGCATTTGTATGTTCATAGTTTATTTGCCAAAGTATTTATTACTATAAATAGGTATATATATATATATATATATATATATATATATATATAATATATATATATATATATATATATATATATATATATATATATATATATATATATATATATATATATATATATATATATATATATATATATATATATATATATATATATATATATATATATATATATATATATATATATATATATATATATATATATATATAATATATATATATATATATATATATATATATATATATATATATATATATATATATATATATATATATATATATTTCATGTAAAATATATCATTTTTAAAATACAAACCAAAAATACGAGGAATAATTATGTTTTCCATGTATTCTATAACATATTTATTAATCCGTAATATCTCACTAGCGTGACGTCATAAAGCTCGCTCCGATGCTGTTCTATTAGAGACGGCATTGGTCTGATATTTAAAAATGTCAAAAGCTGATGACATTTTACTTTTGACAATTATAACATTTCGTGTTGATTTTTGCAAGTATAGGAAGAACTGTCACTTGTTTTATTATTTTCCTTTTCTATTTCACAAAAGTAAAAAGAGTTACCTATCTGATTCGTTCAGGCACTCAATTTAAAGAATATAAGTAAATTTTTTGATAGAGGGATTTTATATTTGGATTTTTAATTTTCCATGTTGGTAAAAAATAACGGTCAAAATTCAAAGTTATTCACACACACATTTTATAGACTATATTATATTTATTTGTAATAATGTAATACAATGTGTTCATGCTTAATATAATATAGAATTATTGTTTTCAAGTACATACTAACAAAAACTAAATAAAACAATAATGCGTTACGCTATAAATATAAAAGTGCGTGTCAATTAAAACAAAATATTTTGTTACAGAAAAATACACCCGAGGCAGTGGACATGGCTATGCGTAAATCAACGATGCGAACGCCACCACATCACAGAAAATGTCAAAATCGAATCCTTATCAACTTGCAGCATGCTCTGTGGTTCTACGCAACTTTGGCCACAACCCACTGGCCCTGTGACACTGGGTAAATGCCGTGTAATCGAAAAAAACGGCGTCAAAAACGGCTGGGGAAAGACAATCGATGATAATTTTGGCGAGGTCAATCTCTAGACGGCAGTTACTAAAAACTGACATAAAACTTGTTGTAGAACAAATTATCAAAAAAGAATAGAACGTTTCCAGACACATAAATATATGTCCAATTTTTTTTCGAATTTTAAACCTATATATATTTTACCACTATTTTAAAATCGTTTTTACTCGATATAAGTAAGTGACAGTAAGTGGCAGTACGTGTCATTAACAAATAAAGAAGAGTACGGGCTAAATAATGACGCTAGGTCTTGATTTCGTCAAAATTATCATCGATTGTCATTCCATAGCCATCTTTGACGCATTTTTTAGGGTTCCGTAGCCAAAGGGTAAAAACGGGAACCCTATTACTAAGACTTCGCTGTCTGTCCGTCCGTCCGTCCGTTTGTAACAAAGGTCTATCTTATGAACCGTTATAGCTAGAGAGTTGAAATTTTCACAGATAATGTATCTATGTTGCTGCTATAAGAACAAATACTAAAAACAGAATTAAATAAATGTTTATAAATAAAAAAGTACTTTCACTAAACATTATCTTTTAAGTAAGAATTTTACATAGAATCTTTCAAGTCTTCGGTGGCCGCGTGGTTAAAGCGTTAGGACTTTACGCTGCTATGACTTTGGAGCCGTAGTAAATCAGGTTCGAATCCTAGTCAAGGCGACTTTTCTTAATCGTTTTTTTTTTAATTTCTACATATTTTTATATATTTTTACATATTTATTTTTACTTCCTACATATTTATTATTGATTAATACAATTTTTAGTAATGTGTTTCTTCATTTTTTTTTAAATTACTTATACGCGCATTCAAAATTTCAGCTAAATCGGAAAAAAAGTTTATAATAATATAGTGTCTAATGTTGTATAGATAATGAATGGTACCAAACCAAACCAAACCTTCGTGCGCGAGTCCGACTTGACCAATTTTTTTTTATTATGTTATGGATGGGGAATGAAATTTTTAATTTTTCTCTAATATACCGGGAAATTCAAACTTATGTTAATATGGACAAAAAATTACCGTATGATCGAAAAAAACGGCGTCCAGTGGTCTGTGAAATGACGATCGATGACATTTCCCATATAAATTTACATATAAAATGACAGCGATCTTAATTTCATAGCCATCGTTTATTTTCGATTATACGGTATTATTATAATAGTTATACGGGGTGAGTCTTAAATAAGTACAGCAAATATTTTTAGGGATAATATATTTCGACCCCAGAAACACGATTATCGAGTTTTCGCAGAAAAAAAATTGAAAATTTGGATTTTTTGCAATTTTTTTTTTTTAGTTTTTGGTTGAAAAACATAATTTCTTGATAATATGGCAACATAGATAGTAAATTAAATTTACAAGAAAGAAAACCTAGAAAATATCCAGTTGCTCTCAAAATTCGAGCAAAAAATCATTTTTTTTTAATTTTTGGTTATTACAGTAAAGAGAAAAACGGTAAAGAGAAAATATCTTTCTTTTGTCGAGATCTACCAGCCCTGAAAATATTTGCGCTTATTGAAGACTCACCCTGTATATTAGTATTAAATCAATTCATTTTCAATCGCAATCATATTTTCTGCTGTTGATCGATGTTGTTCATCATATATATATTTCTAAGTTGTATTTGAAAACATAATATTTTATCACTTTTATTTTTAAACAGCCACTTTTAGTGGATTTGTCAATGCAGCAAAAAATCGCTAAAAACGCAAGAAGTTGACAGGGGGAAAAGGATAGGTTTATACCTTAACTTTGCTTTTGAAAGAAATAACCGAAAAATGCAAGTAATACTCATATTACTTGCATTTTTCGGTTATTTCTTACAAAAAAATTGAAAGAAACAAACTTATCTGCGACTATATTAATTGTACAAAATTTCCTGTATACAAAAGTGCTTTGTTTGTGCGTTAGAGGGCATGAAATTAAAAAAAAAAATTTTTTAGGATTTTAAAATGACCTAGAAAAAATATGTAATATATCTAGTTGACGTAAAGTGGAATGTCACTATCACAAATGATCTTTGACAATAAACTTATTAATTTTCAACTAATTATCGTTTGAGTTCATTAAATTTTCATTCCCTCTAACGATCAAATTGAGCACTTGCAAATAGCACTTGTATATAGAGGTATATTTTGTCCAATTAACTTATTTTGATTTCGAAAATAATATGTAGTAGATTTAGGTCCACGGAATATTGAGACACCCTATATATAAAGCTTACTTCTGTCAGTACTGCTTCTACAAGCTTAATAATTTTTATCTTTCTCTATTTGTCAGAAACGAACTCTAAATCTGAATTCCTTTTGTCTTTTAGGTAGCAAGGCCATAATTTTCAATCACCAGCAGTTCAGCCTGCAGGTTTTGGCCAGTGGACCGGCTAAGGCTCTCGTCAAAGAAGCCTTTTCTGCGTTTAACGACAGCGTACTTAGTTTAGTTCGTAACAACAATTACCTTAAAGAAAAGACTGATTTTGATAGGTTTATAGTTCGCGTAACGGTAGTGCGTGGCGATGTGATAAGATTGAAATTGAGGACGGACGAAAGTTATAGTTTAACGTTAAAACCGCGAGACAGTGAAATAGTTGCGAATATTACGGCCAAAACTTATTTTGGAGCTCGACATGGGTTGGAAACCTTAAGCCAGTTGATATGGTAAGTATATTTTAGTTTTCTATAGTATACATGAAAGTATAGGCTTGGTGCATTCTCCGCCGGTGCTGCCACCGCCCGAGTAATAAATCTATAATAATGTCGTAAATAACGAACACATACAAATACACGGGTTTAAATGGCGAGTAAACGAAAAAATTAGTATATAATAATTATTCTAAAAATGTTAGAAAGTATAATTTGTGGAAATTCTAAACAGAAAAATAAAAAGGGAAATATTTTGATATCTTCAGAAGGTTTAACTTGCATTATAATTTATTATTCCAGTTAAAAAATTTTTAGATGAGTTCAACTACGGTAGCGAGCATAGTTTTATCACCGGTTTTGCTAGTGGGTCATAATTGGAGCTATTTCGGCTATAACGACATTTTTTAAAGGTACATAATTATAATTTTAGAAGATGTTCATAAAACATTTAATCACTAGTTGACTAAAAAAGTCATAGTATGAGAGGATGAAATATAATTTGCAATATTAACAGTATACTTACTCATAGTATATGTCTATTTAATCTTTTGATGATGACAAAGTGCTCATTACCACTTTGTTTACTCACTTGTTTCGTCGAACTGCTTGAATCCATTTTTGCTATTGACTATTGATCAAATCGGTGTAAGAAATTATGAAGCTATAAACTGTTGTTTCGGGAGAGTTGAATATCCGGGAAAGTTGAGTTATTGAATGTTATTGCACCCTACAACGCCCTAATTACGCTCTCCTTTACTCGTTAACATTTTTTTGGGCAGTTTTATTAACATTTGAAATTGTCACAACACAACACAACAAGACGCCTAGTTCGACGCCTAGTTCGAATTCTTTTTCATTTATTTTTTACTACCCGAAACAGCGTTACATCACACAAATCTCGTACCTAAGTGTTTTATAATCTCAATAACTGCACTAGCAAAAAACTAAAATTTTTAAATATTACGACAAAACCCCGATTTCAATATTATTTTAATGTGATCGACGTGACGGCGGCGCGGCGTGAACTATTTATTGATAATTTCTGATTTCTGCCGCAGAGTGCGCTGCGGTCGGAATTTGTTGAAATCAACTGAAATGCACCAATCCTATACCTAAACCCGATGAGATCGTCCGTCTAGTGTCTATATTTCTCAATTTAAAGAGTGAGGAACGAACCTCCTATTCTCCGGTCAGCAGACACACTTCACTAGCGTCCACGTCCTACTAGTCTACTCAGGCACCCAATTTGTTGTCCCTTAATTTTATGATTTTCCATTGTTAGCTAAACTAAAGACGTTTATTTTTACGGTTTATTCAAAGTTGGATTGTTATTTGGTTTATTTTGTTAGAACGATTTGCGTCTAGCCAGACCGTGCAACTTTACAATCCACAGTTCCGCATGCTCAGAAACCATACTCGGTCGGATATTTCGTGTGCAATCTAAACAAAAAAACTTACTCCAGAGACTAACCAACGCAATCAAAACACGCCTACAGAGTATCTTGATTGCTATTACCGACAGCTGCAAAAAAAAATTAAAAAATTAAAAGAGCTATAAAAAAATAAAAAGATTTTATATTCGTGGTATTTAAACCTCGGACCCCTCGATCCAGAAGCGGCCGCCTCGCCCACCCACGGAGCCACAGGCTGCTTTCATAACCGCAGTTAGTAGTAGTAGTACCTTTCGTAACCAGGCTATGGCTAAGCATTACTTTGTTCTGCTGTTCCACCGAAGACAAATACGCATGCGGAACTGCGAGTTGTAAAGTAGCACGGTCCGGCTAGACGCAAATCGTTCTAACAAAATAAACCCATAATTCAACTTTCGAATAAACCGTAAAAATAAACGTCTTTAGTTTAGCTAACAATTGAAAATCATGAAATTAAGGAACAACAAAGGGCAACATTGTTGGGTGCCTGAGTGGGCTAGTGTGACGTAGACGCTATTCACACTTTCCACTGATCCACAGTCACCACTTGTTAAATGTAATAGGTAAACAGGGTGTCAAAAAAAATAGTGTATCTAACTTCAGTGGGTGCTTCTACAGATAAAAATAAAACAAAAGTTCCTATGAACATACGCCTTAAAATGCTTCCCGAAGAAATTACAGCCCTCAAAAGGTTAATTAAAAATAATATATTTTGTTTATTTTTAAGAACATTGGTAAACCGTTTTTCTTGAAATGTGATACTCTTACACAGATTTTTAATGCCAAAGCGAATGGCGATAATGTAAAATTTTGTAAGAGCCCTGAAAGTGGTGGTACTTCTGTTATCCTTATAGATACAGTAATTTCAATAATTGAAAATTAAAGCTAGGACTTTTTATGTAAAAAAGGTGTTCTTCGTTTAGTTCGAAACAGTGAACAGTTTTCAAGATATTTGCGTTTAAGGCCCTAAGAGCTAGCAACGTTTTCGAGAAAGTATTTTAAGAAAGCTGGCTCTTTGATATATATTTTACTATGCTCTCTGGAACAGCATGCGGCCCATCTGGCTGCCGATACCCGTTGCGTTTACTATTGCGCATCGGAAGAAGATCCTATATTTTTTTTATTTAGTCCATTAAATTCTAGTATTCAATATAAATCGACAAGTCTCCATAGCGCAGCGCGTAGAGTTTCCGACTACGAACCGAGGATTCAGAGTTCGAGACAGGGTCAGGGCAAAAACTTTTTTATTTTATTTTCTTTTATATTCTGATAGTAAAGTATTAAATATTTGTTTTTTTTTTAAACGTGGAGTTTATTAAATAGCATAAGTTCGAAAATATAAGAACTGTCTGTAAATATTTATAATTGAGCATTTTTTGGGGTTGGGTTGGTAACAAAAAAACATTTTATTCAGGGTGTGTCTATGTATCAGTGGACAATACACTCTTTTTTATTTTAAATGCAATACCTTTTATATTATTTATTGCTCAAAAAGCTATATTTCGTTTATAACGCTTTCATTTTGTTTTGTTCCACATTTGACTGACTGTAACTTTTTTATTTTTGGAGATTCAGAAATCTGAAGATTCAGAATTTCGGAACATTCGTCGAAAAATCGAATTATAGGGTTATTAATAAAGCATAGATGAATGTAATAAAGTTTTATTACTTATGAGCAAAAATGTCAGAAGATGTCAAATGCCACAGGTATTGATAGGATAGGTAAAATGTATTTAATAAATTTTTAACTGGACCCCTTACCTACCTATTACTACTACTATTGCCATTACTCGCTGACGAGTATTTGACACGCATCGGAAGATACAAGTCGTTTTCTTTCATGAGCTTTTCTGTAACTGAAAAGCCGCCGACACGTGATGTTATCTCTCTTCCGCATTCGGGACATTCAAAAATCTCATTGCTGTGTAGCCTCTTTACTTTTTGGTTCTCGCTGTTAACTGAGTTTATAATTCTTCTCCATTGCCTTCTATTGTGCGCTGCTTCTTCCCACTGATTCTGCATACTTGTTCCCTTTAAGTTTTCGTGGAAAATATCCTTGTATAAGTATCCACCTGATTTCCTCTTACCGTAAAGAAGAAATTTTAGTAGGCGGATTTCTTGCATACGTGACCAACCCATCTTAAGCGGGATTTAGTAATCGTGACTTCAGCGCTCTCTCAGCTAGATTTTTCAAGGACCGATACGATTAAGACATGATAGACCATTTGATTATTAAGAGTTGTCTAGGTGTCTCTGTTGCAACTTGTTTAATGCGTTCGTGTGCCGGCGGTACGGCACCCAGGTTTCGCTTCCATATAACATGGTGGGGATTATTATTGCTCGGTACACTGTAAGTTTCGTTTATTTGCTCAAGTCATGATTATAGAAAACCCTGTCTTTTAATTTCCAGCCTGCTCTTGAGGCGCTGCTAATTCTGTGCTGAATTTCAGAGTCAGTATTGGCCTTTTCCGGAATCAACCTGCGGAGATAATTGAATTCCGCTACATTTTCCAATAGTCCGATTTTTATTTTACTGAAACGATTGATGAAAGTTTGGGTACTTTCTTTTTTTTAAACTAATAATCTAATAATATTTTTTTCTTCAAGAAACATACGATAAAACAGTTTCTGTCGAATCATTGGCACAAAAACATTTCAAATTTATTATATCAGACTAATAACTATCCTATATACCGGGTGTTGCATCGTCGGACGGGACATAGGAAATCCCATGTAAATTTTAATGGGGTCAATTATTGGCTTCCCTAATTATTTTAGAGAATAATTCTATTTAAGTTTATTGAAGAGCACTAAAACCCACATTCAAAAGAATAACTTTAGATATTTTTGATTAGCTCGTTTACGAGTTATCGCCGATTTCTTTTTAAATATTTCTCCTTTCTTATGGCCCTGTATTTACTTATGAGCACCAGTCAAGGTAAAAGATAACAGTCAAATGAAGTTGTCATTTCAGAAATTTACCTATTTAGTGCTTTATTATTATTGAAAACTCATTCCTACATCGGAAATCTTAAAGATGTATTTATAAATACAAATTAATATGAATTAAAGTAAAATAAAGTAATCAATTACAAGATTAATTATAGTATTATTACAATATTCAATCACTTATTAATTTAGGTAGGGACTATTAAATTGCTAGAACTTTAGGTTTTTAAGAAGATGTTCAAATATTCCTCCATCGACTGCTAGACAATAACCCAGGCGATCATAAAATTCTCTTCTTACATTCGCTAGTTGGTAAACTGAAATTCTATTGCATTCGGCAGAAATATTTTTTAACTCGTCTAGATTTCGGAATTTTTTATCCTTGTATATCCTGTTTTTTAAATGGCCCCAGAGAAAGAAATCATTTGGCGAAATATCAGGAGACCTTGCTGGCTAATTTACTGTATGATTTAGGCTAATAACGTTTCCGTTAAAACTATTGTCTAAATATCTCCGAACAGCCAGAGTACTATGTGCCGGACAGCCATCCATTTGGTACCAAACTTCCTGATTTTCCCTAGCGGCATCATGTAAAGCAGGTAAAATATGATTTTCGAGTAGTTCCAAATAATATTCTGCATTTAAATTTCGCGTAAGAAAAAATGGCACGATAATATTGTGTCCGAATATCCCTGTCCAAATATTTACTTTCGGTGGATATTGCGTCCTTGTTTCGACAAACCTGTGTTGGTTTTCTTTGTTCCATTATCGACAATTTTGAACATTGGGTTCATTATTTAAGGTAAACGTGCATTCGTCAGTGAAACATATGTTTTTTTAAAAATTCCCTATCCGTGTTTGCTCTTTCCATCATATCAAAACAAAACGCCTGCCGCCGTATTTCGTCCTCATCTCGTAGCTCTTGGTGCTTTTCATATTTGAAGGAATAGTATTTATGCCGTTTCAAAATTCGAAACGCTGTAGTGTGATCTATTCCTATTTCATCCTCAAGTTTCCCTGTGCTGATCTTTCCATCGTTCTCTTCCACGCACAATAAAACTTCCAAGTTGGTATCATTTCTTGCATCTTCTCTTTGTTCCTGCCTTGCTTCACATCTGCAGTTATTTATTACGGTACCTTTGGTCTTAAATCTCTGGATATTCCTTGCGATTGTAGATTTTCCAGGTATCGGTCTATTCGGATACAGAGCAGCAAACGTGTCCGACACCTTTTGATAACTATTTCCTTGATAATATCATTTAATCATCAATACTTTTTCTTCGGTAGTGTAATTCATGGCTAATATTTTCGATGTAGGTATGAGTTTTTAATAATAATAATAAAGCACTAAATAGGTAAATTTCTAAAATGACAACTTCATTTGACAGTTATCTTTTACCTTAACTGGTGCTCATAAGTAAATACAGGGCCATAAGAAAGGATAAATATTTAAAAAGAAATCGGCGATAACTCGTAAACGGGCTAATCAAAAATATCTAAAGTTATTCTTTTGAATGTAGGTTTTAGTGCTCTTCAATAAACCTAAATAGAATTATTCTCTAAAATAATTAGGGAAGCCAATAAAAATTTACATGGGATTTCCTATGTCCCGCCCGACGATGCAACACCCGATATACTACCGAAGTTTCCCGAATACAATTCGGACCACCCTGTGTAGGGTGTTTCGTTTAAAAAAAATAGTTTATAACATGTTAGACAACAATTTGCTAATCTAGGTACTTAATATTTCCGAATCAGTTGAAGATAAGTATAAAACATTGTACATGAAATATATCCCTAATTTTATGAAGAATCTAAAAATTGAATAATATAAAGGGCGTTTAACTTAAAAATAAGAAAGTTAGTATTGGCAACTGTTACGTGACACACCTTGTATAAAATGTTTTTTTTTAGTAACGACGAGCGTTTTTTCGAACACGCTTCGATATATTATCGAATTTATTTAATTTGATCGTCACACTGTATGTAATTTTCTAAATTAAAGCAGAATTTGTGCTTAAATGTCGTGAGCGCATTTTTAACAACATTTATGGAATTTATTTTCCAGGTGGGATGAATATGCAGGCCACGCGGGAGCTTTAAAAATAATTAAAGGAGCTACAATCCAGGACGCTCCAGCCTTTCCCTACAGAGGCCTTATGGTTGACACTGCCAGAAATTTTATGTCAATTGAGAGTCTCAAAAGAGTTTTGGTAAGTCTTCTTGAAGTATTAAACAGTTAAAAAATAAACTAAAAAAAGTAATAAACTGATCGTAGTAGCCTTGTGAGATAAAGTATGTAAGTAATAACATGGGTGATACGCTGTAAGAAATATGTAGTAAAATTTCAGTATTTCTTGTTCAAAATGTCAAACTTCTTGCATCGCCTATAGAAAATATAAGCTTGAACAAATCCATTTTTATTTTGAATAGGGAAATATTAATGATAATTTAATTATTCACTTAATACTCACAGTTTCAGCCTCATTCAAAACCTCGAAATTAGTGAAAAAAATTAATGGTTTCAATTAGCGTAGGAGTTTGTTCCTCTAATTTCAATGTAAGCATTCAGAACGTCAAAATTAGCGAATGTAATTTTGAATTACTGAAAAGAGTTAGCAAAGTTTTAACTTTTTCCACTAATTATAATTGAAATTTTGCGAGTAATGTCATTTTGGCCTTTGATTATCATCCGTCAAGAGAAATTGTTGTTAGAAATCAAGTTTATTACTATTACTTAGTTTATTGTTTTATAAGCTAATTATTAAGCTTCCTATGAATACAACGCGACTACTGCAAGCTGTTGCTAGGATATTGTGAATAATCATATACTCTTAAGCTTCATTAGGGAGATATCTGTAAACCGAATAGCGTCATGCAGTGTTTACGCGTGCCTTATTTTGACAGTTACGATATGCGCGAGTCGATTTTTAACGCAACACCCGCTAATAACCTTACCGCCTGACGTAATTTGCGAATCAATTCTAAAAATTCTTTGCGGGCTATTTCTAAATAACGTTTAAAAATTGCATAAATGGGCAGGTGCAGATATTTGACAAACGGGGCCGGCACGCGAAATCTTTTATTTTAGGTTATGTTTGGCTTGTTTTCAATTATTACTTTAGTTTTATTAGGTAATTTGATATTTAAGTAGCTGTGATTAGTTTTAATTAAATAAATATGGTCCAAAATATGGATTTCATATCTTCCAATATTAAAGAACCTATATATAGAGGCTTAGGTTTACAGCAGGTGACGACTTTGCCCTTCTAAGAGAATTTGTTGCCCTAAACCCACTGGCAGACGTTGAACGATAAAGCACTGGAAATAAGCACTTTAGCCCTTTAGTTTCAAAAAATACCTAGTAAATAAAACAATTTCAGTCAAGTTTTAAATTCAAAGTTAGGTTAAGTTTAAATAGCGGACTCAAACAGAATACTTCCGATCCGATAATTATAAATGAAGAGAATGAATACCGCCTCACGTAAAGGAAATAACACCTCGGTTTACCGATATCTCTCTATTCAGAACCTTGCAATTAGTGGAATAAATTAGTGGTTTCAATTAGCGTAGAATTTTGATCCTTTAATTTCAATGTAAGCATTCAGAATGTCAAAATTAGTGGTGGACATCTTCAACTGGTAGAAAAAGTTATCAAAATTTTAATTTTTCCACTAATTAAATTTGCGTGAAATGTCATTTTGGCCTTTGATTATCTTCCGTCATGAGAAATTATGGTTAGAAATCAAAAGTTTATAAGCTAAATATTAGTCTTTCTCTATGGATACAACTGACTAACGCAACCTGTTGCTAGGATATTTATTAATTTTAATTGTGTTTTTTTAACATTGTGAATGATCGCAAACTAGAGAGTATAAAGTGTAATTGAAACCACTAATTTATTTCACAAATTTCGAGGTTCTGAATTTCGAAATTCAGAATCACGAATCACGAATTCAGAATCACAAAATTCGAAATTCAGAACCTCGAAATTTGTGAAATAAATTAGTGGTTACTATTATACTTTATGCTTAAAAGTTTATGATAATTTACAATGTCTAGGAAAATACAATTAAAATTAATATACAGATTTGTAACGTTTTAATAAAACGTGTGTTAAATATTTGAAATTGTGTTAAGGAAACGTTACACTCTAAGATCTCCAGAGAGAAAGTCTAATAATTAGTTCATAAAACAATAAACTTTCTTTTATATTAATACTTATAAAACAATAAAGTGTCTAACCACAATTTCTCTTGACGAATGACATTATTCGCAAATTTTGAAGTATAATCAGTGGCAAATGTTAAGTTTTTAACTTTTTCCACTATTTGAAAATTACTACCACAAATTTGTTCTGAATGCTTACGTTGAAATTGAAGCAGCAAACTTCTACGCTAATTGAAACCACTAATTTATTACACTAATTTCAAGGTTCTGAATAAAGCATAAACAAAAATAATTAACATAGTATTATAATTTTTGTATTGTAATATCAATTTAAACCATTTACAATATGGTTATTAAAGGAAATTTAGAAGACTACATTAAGTTTGAGCAGCTTAAACAAATGGATTCTTTCAAATTTTCCAGAAAATATCATTAAACGGCTTAATGCAAGTTTTAGTTATGAACTAACACGATAATATAAACCTTTAAGATCTTCGACGTCAAAAGTTATCCAAAACAGGAAAGTTTTTGTTTTGTATCATAACATTTTCCAAGCTAAACTAATACATAGATCCAAACAAAGAAAACGAAGACCGATATCGACAACATCGCATAATATTCAACTATGTTCAATAAACGTAATTTGCAATTAATGAAAATTTATCAACCATAACTGTAATACAATAAAGTAAGGTCCAAATTTAATAGGAATTAGCATTATTCTCAAGACTGCTGTAGGTTGGACTAATAGTAATAATAAATTAGGTAAAATATATAATTATTCATTAAATTTATTTTTATTTTTATTTGATTGTCATTAATAAAATTGCGTTTATCGCATCAAGGAGGCCGAATTCGACAAAATATCAAGAGCTAACTTTTAATTGGCATTAAACGGCCTAAACAATTTTGATATCAAAAGAAAAAAGTCAGTGGCGCACAAGTTTTTTTTGTTTGTGAAAAATACTCCAGTGATAACCCATATGCACGTCCCTGATGAATTTATCGACATTTTTCTAGCATTAAAATATGTAGCGCTTATTTACTAAAAGCGTTTTTTTTTTCTTATTTTTTTTTTTGAGGGTAAAAGTTACTTTTACTCAAAATTTCACTCGAATCACTAAAATAACTTATATTAAATCGATTATATAATAAGATTATTAAGACTTTAACACCCTGTAGCTACGAAACTAAGCAGAATCGGACCTATGTTGATATGAAAAATAATCTTATTTTTACATGAGGAATCTCCCCACGAGAGATGGCACATGTTTTTTGAAACACCCTGTATACAGCTGTTGTCCATTCCGTTGATAGGTCGCAATTGTTATTATACTCCAGATGTTTCTCCAGCTATAATTTGGAAATTTATGTTCTATTTCAGGTTCTTCATGGATATTATTAATTCAAATTATATATACCGGGTGCGCCTCAAAAGTGGCTAACATTTTTATTTTTTCAGATAAAAAAAACGTGATTTGATATGTTAGTATATGACATAAATTAGGATTGATTGACGTATTCAATTGTTTTCGGTTACATCCTGTTTCACCTGAAATAACTACAACTTTTGATTTTTAAATGACACACTTGTTTTACTTTATTTCACAGAAAATGACACTCTGAATAGAATGATATATCAATTGACAACTTTTGTCATATTTGCATATGATTTATTCGAAATTGTAACATGCGGCTCACAACGACAATTTGAAATAGCAAATGTGTGGTACCAAATTATTCGTAAAAAATGCTTTTTTCAAATATGCTAATGAGCCACCCTTGTTCCATTTAAAAAAAAATTGAGGTACGATTGAAAATACGATTTGGGCATCTTTTAACCGGCCAGGATAAGACAAGAAAAACATTAGACCATCAAGTCTATCTTTCCGAGGCTTCTTGATTAAAAATTAGTGTTTTTAACACAGTTATGAATTATGACACACTACTCTACTATGAAATTTAAAATACATTTTTTTTAAACGAAAATGTCAAAAGTTGACATATCACATGTCATTCTATTCAGACTGTCATTTTCTATCGAATAAAGTAGAAATATACCGAAGGTGCCATTTAAAAAAAAGTTATAGTCATTTCCGGTGAAACAGGAACTGACCAAAAACAAATGAATACGTCATTTAATTCTAATTTATGTCATATACTAACATACCAAATCTCGTTTTTTTATCTGAAAAAAATAAAAAAGTTATAAGGGTGAGCCTCTTTTGAGGCCTATCCAGTGTGTTGTTTGTTTTGACAATATTATTTGTTTTAACATAAGAATATTTTTTTTTTAAGAAACTGAACTTTTGCATACTTTTTAGTATAATGGTTTTAAATAATCTAGAAAAAAGTCCCCTATCGAATCAGTGTATGCTAGATAAGTTAACGTGGAGTCAAAAGCCACAAAAAACGTTTTCTCGATTATCCTGAAAACGATTGACCTCCCTATAAAAACTAATCGAAAAAATTGCCATCTAGGTTTTTTTTCTTAATGGAAAGAATAAAGAGCAATTTTTTTCGACTATCTAAACCACTATACTTTACTCCTTTGTTATTTTAAAGGTATTTAACTAAGCATTATAATTATTTAATTGAATATTCATTAAAAAATGACTGAAACTCAATAGTTTTTTCAATAAATGAGCACACTGTTGTCTGTTTATTAACTAAAAATACGTTGAACGCAAGTTCAAACTCGTTTTGAACTTTTCCAATTACTTTGAAGCAAATTAGCCTACATTCCTGCCTTGTTCGTATATAACCTAACGTATATTTAAAAAACGTCTAGTTCACTTATTTCTCTGATATACAAAAAATATATAAGATAAACTGCAATACTTAACATCATTTTTTAACTTTCTTTACTATAGTCTTTACAATTAATTTTCTTCGACATTTATTTAAACAGAAACGGAAGCGGTCGCGTCTTAAGGCAGTTTTTATGAAAAACGTACAAAAAACTGGTTCTTAAAGAGAATATTAATAAGGTTGAATTTTATTTTTATTCTCGCGCGTGCTAAGCCCTAGAGAGCTATTCTGC